GACTCACCCTTCGACAGGTTATCCCTACGCTTTTGTGAAACAGCTACTGTGAAAAAAAAAGAAAAATAAAAAAAACACCCAGGGAGACGCTCATCCAACCAGTTTGGTCCCCACTGGTCAGATCAGGCCCCCGTCGTCGGTGGGGCAGCGCTCAAAGCCAGGGGGCCTGATCTGACCAGTGGGGGACAGGGGGGCAGGCGCGTGCTCCCGGCCGAAGCTGCAGCCCCCTCCTGAGAGCCAGGCTGCGACCAGCCTGCTGGCGCCCGAGGTCCCATTCCCAGTCCTACTGCTTCCTTGAATTATCTTTTATCTCCTCTCCCCATCTCTCTGAAGAGGGGAAGACGTCTGCGTTCAGAACAGCAGCGTTACCGTTTGCAATTTAACGCAACGCGCTCTTCTCCAAAAGGCCACTGTAACGCTGCATTGCAAACGGCATCGCTTACAACATCTCACTTAGAGACCTTTACCGTAGGCTGGGAAGAAAATAACGTTAACTGCCTGGCAGCTTGCCTGCTGCAATGTGACACTTCCCCCCGGGGTCTCAGAGCACCCTGCACCAACTAAATGTCATATACATAACCAAATAAGATACAATATTGTTTAACCAGGAGCTTTTATTTGAAACAATGGACTGGAAACGGCTGTATGACAGGAAGACCCATCTTGTACCACATAGCAACCTTGTGAGACACCTTAACTTTTTATTAATTTACTGGAAAGATCCTCTGTAAACTGCTCACTGACAGCCCTCCATGAGACAGGCTGGCATACGGGCGTAAACGTCACCTTCTTGAAAACCACAGATCCTGAGACACGGAGAACACAGCTGCAGCAGTGCCCTTCGCTCGAGAGGATAAACCATAGCAAAAACAAAACATTGTGTCTTCCCTTGGGGTGAAGACCTCCTCATACGTACACTGAATTTCAATTTTAATAAAGACAATAAAGACTCGCATATGGTTTGAGCTGTTAGATCCATTAATTTCATGCTTTTGCTCCTGACACTTGAGAAGCCCAATATTTTGCTAAGCTGTTTAATTGCAGTGATTTTTTTTCCCCCCCTTTAGCAGAAAGTATTTTACAGGCTATAGAAATACCTTGAAGGCCAGAGTGGATGCCAGCAGTCCAAAAGACCCAAAGCAAACACGTGCATGCTGAAATGGGGATGTTAGAGGAGAATTATAATTTATATATCACAAAAATCAAAATCCAAACCAGAACATGCTGCAGTGGTATTTTACCTCAAAATAACTGAATGAAGCCGTTAGTGATGAAGTATTGTTGCATTAATGGAGACAGACTGAAAAAAAAAGTTGACGCTATCCGTAGTAGGAGACTAGTAGACAGTGATCACGACCTACTAAGACAAAGTCATGACGAAGGCACTGTCGCTGAAGATATCCTTATATGCAAAATGGACTTTATGCCAGAGCACAGGGAAGAGCAAAAAGTTCATTTGCCATTGTCCAGAGAGGATGAAAAAACAGGATCAGGTTTTAACTGGTGTTATGCAGAAAACCCCAAAAAAGGTGTTGATTGCTGATATTCAGGATTTCAGACAAGCATGTTTAGTTGCAAAAAAATTTAGGACAGTAATAGCTAGGTTTTCATTCCAGCAGTTTAGTCACTGGGCTTAATTCTGCCCTCAGTTGTACAAACGAAAATATATATTTGCAATTAATTCAGTTATACTAAATTTACAGCCATGGTACAAAAAAGACTCATAATAACAAAATATTTTAGAATGGAAATCAAAGACCCTGATACTGCAAAGCCTTACGTGCAGAAATGGCCTCATTCAACAGACTATTTGTGTAAAGACAACTTGCACGTCAAGAACGGGCAGAGCCAGGTACTCACAGAAGAGCCATGGAGAACACGAATACAGAAACCAAAAGCTTTCATTAATGGTTTATGTAGCCTGCTCTGGTTTCATTACCAGTTTGGAGTCATTAGCGAGTATTTGGGAGACACCAGGGGAGAAACCTGCAGGAAGGACAAGGTCCTAAGGTCCTTCTCCTTCCTCTGCCAGACAGGATCCATGTGAACATCGCCCTCGCCCAGGAACACGCCCATGCCCTAACCACCCCTGCAGCCTCGATGACTATTCACCACTCCAGGAATTTACTTTGTGTCAAATACTTTAAAAATGGTCACTTTTGGTAGCACTCGATTGCGTGAGCGCCGAGAATGGCGAGCGGGTCCTCGGGGCGCCGGCACAGGGAGCTGCCCGGCCCCAGGCACTGCAGGAGCCACATGGAGGTTCAGCCCCTCTGGGGTGGGGACTTCCAGGATCCCAGTTCAGACACTGCATTTCAGAAATATCCCGTTTTGGTCATGGATCTGGCTCACCCCTCCTCCGCATTCGCTTCAACACAAATACACTGCAAGGACTATGCAGCCAACTAAGGCAAGACAAAACAAAAAAACAGCCAGGGAAAAGACCGCGGCAATCTGAATTTTCTGCGATGGTGGTAGTTATTTACTTAATAGTTTTTCACTTTTAGGAACTCGGTGTTTTCATTGATTTTTGCATTTGATGTCTACATTTCTTGAACGCGTTATCTCCATATACCTAGCTTGTAGGCAAATTGCTGTGTAAGAGGTAACCAGCTGCGTGCACAAATGGACAATGACTTCCCATCCAGGAATGCTGTTTGGATGTCAGCGTCTTTGCCGAAGCAGTGTTTCCTAAGTGATTCAGGCTATTTCCATCACTGCTTACTTTGAGCATATGCATGTTTGGCTGCCTTAACATAGCAGGGTTTAGAACTACATTGCGTCTTCAAAAAAATTACAAAGGTTTTAGGATGTTTCCATAAATAAAACTAAGCACTGGGTTTAATTCTTCATTCCCCCTTTGCTAACAACCAAAGGGCCCGTATCTAAAGCTAGTCAAGGAGAGCTTAATTATTCCTAGTGTGACTTGAAGTCTACACATCTTCTGTTGACTTACAGCACCCTACTGAGTTTTCAGAAATGATGCCCCCAGATGCTGGAAGTAGCTGCTGTATAACCAGAGATTGGTCAAACCAAAAGAAGGGCCATGGGCAACCCAGAGGCATGGAAGTAGCTGCTGTATAACCAGAGATGGGTCAAACCAAAAGGGCCATGGGCAACCCAGAGGCGCAAGCACCGCAACGCATGGCCATCACTCCTCCCATTACCACCATCACTGCCACCTCAGGAGTTTTATGTTGCTGCTCTAGATCTGGAGGTAGGATTTCATTTACTCATTTTAAATATCGCAGCGTTTCCAGGAGTGTCAACCACGTAAGTGGATGGAGGCGGAAGCGTTGGAGGCATCCACCAGCACAGCCCATGCTCACCCCCAGGAAATGTTCGGATATGTCTTTTGCACCAAGTCTTTATCTCACTACTCTAAAACAGTGATCAGCTTGGACCGACTCATTTCTACTGGCAGGCATCACCACCACCAGGTGCAAGGCTTCAACAAGCTGCACAGAGAGGCTGGTGCACAGCTGCGTGAGCAGTAGGACAGCACTGGAAGCTTGCTTCATGAATCCCACTGTTGAACTTGCACACTCTCATGTGCAAGTTATTTTACAGTAAGCAAACATTCACAGCAGGGAGTACGCTCTAAAAGCAAGCAACCAGCATCATATGTAGTGGAAAGAAAGCTTAACAGTCGGTAGCTCCTTACACCTCTAGAAACAATATTCCAGTTCTTTCTAGCAAATAACAGACATTTAATATAAGAAAAAAGACCGAGCACACAGACATCTACTAGTCTGGACTATTTGATAGTTTCTCTAACAGAAGCATTGCATGACACAGGGAACAAACACCACAAACAGATTCAGTGCTGCATTCTAGGACGATGCCATCCCTATTAGGTCTGAAACGCGGCAGCGACCTTACCTAGCGAACAGAGAGCTGAGCCGGAGGCCACGACTGGCCGTGCCCCCCGGCAGAACAGAAGTCCTGCAGGCTCTGAAGTGGAGATACATTTCTCTTTCTTGGACAGCATCATTAACATATTACGGGGGGGAAAAAAACTGGCATTGCAGTATGTCAGGCCCAAAAAACCCCAAGGCTGCTCAGGCTAAAAAGTTGTTTTCCATAAAATTCCTGGTCAAAACAAGTTGAAATGAAGGTCCATACTTTAAATGCTTAACTATCTCCAGTATTACTGTGGGAACACAGTGCCTCTCTGTTAAAACACACTCACTTGAAACAACAGGATAGTAGGAGGCAAGCGAGATACAAAATTGGGCAACATGGTGCTAGGAGGAACTGCCAGGAACGTCTGCATTCCAGTTGCATGTCTAGAACTCAAATTAGTTGAATTAGTCAGCTGTCCATAACTAGTCTGCCATTTGCACAGATCTATAAGGTTTTCATCTTGCTAAGGTTAAATCAATCATTCTGTATGCCAACTCTTTACTTATTTTTACATTATTGTACATTTATGAAGAGAAAGCTACATATTGCTGGTATTTTATATCATTTGTTTTGAGAAAGTAATCACTTTGGTTAATCAAATTCTTTACAATCATTGATTTAGTACAATAGTCAGCGTTGTATTAATGTAAACTTCCAGTATGGATTTCAAAAAACACCTTGTTATTGGTGGCCATTACCATAGGTTTAATATACCAAAAATTAATCTTGAGATGTGTTATTTCTAAGAGGATATTGCAAGATCTTAAACATGAGAAGCTGAGAGGTTTTTTTTTTGTTTTCTACAAAAAAAATCCTAAAGTTCTGTTGAAACCCCTTCCTAGTAAGATGCACCATGTAAGCCCCACCCTTCAGACATGGATAGGGTGCAAGAGGGTAGTTAGCTGCTTGCAAGTGAACAGCCAGGCTCTAATTTGAGCCCAAGTTGTTTTTTTTAATTTTTTTTTTTTTTTTTTTTTTAAAACCTTCCCCTTCTCATGTACTTGCCAAACTACACCAATTCTGGCTTGGATCTGGGAGCCAATTTCCGCTTGCAAGGGAACAACCAGGCCCTAATTTGAGCCCAAGTTTTTTTTTTTTTTTAATTTTTTTTTTTTTAAGCCTTCCCCTTCTCATGTACTTGCCAAACTACACCAATTCTGGCTTGGATCTGGGAGCCAACTGCACTTTCTCAAGCTGCTCTGGTTTAGGGATGCCTGCTCTTACGGCAGGTTGTACACAGGAGGTTGGCTTTGTCGAGACTGAAGGGCTTGCCGGTCAACAGCGTCTCGCACTCCAGGCAGGCGAAGTGTCTCTTGTGCCAGGTCATCCCTTCAGCCTGCTGGTAGTCCTCTGAGAAGATTATCTGTGGAACAAGCAGATAATTGTTCATTCCCCTCGTTTCTGCCTTGGGCAGCCTGACCGAGCACTGTAACCCCTCGGCGAAGCGGACAAGGAAAGGAACACCCTGCCAAGTCGAAGCATGTCAAGAACAAAGGAAACCAAAGCCACGTGCACCATTAAACCCATGAGCTGCTGAGATCAGTCTTTAGAGCATGTGTAAATAAAGAGTGTGGGACTACTGGGGAGTGATTAAGCCAAAATCAAGGGCTGCAATTATAAACTATAAAAATGTCAGGCTTCAAATGTGTAGAGTTGGATCCCTGTTCTGAGAGAAATACAGCATAGCTAGCTGAGATGACATCACTAACATCGTACTTTTTTATCCTGTTTTCTTCAGCCTAAGTTCCTCCAGCTCCCTAGCAAAGCCGTATGCCCTAGTGACCAACACCAGAAGGATACAGCTAGCAGAGGGCTTCCTGAGGGGGCACAGGTAGAAAAGAGGAGTTTAAGATGCACGTCAGACAGGTCCTGAATTCACCTGCCCGGAGGAGCCCAGAAACGCGCTGGGGAGCGGACAGCAGAGGGAAAACGGCCCCGGCCCTACCTCATCGCAGCCGGCACAGCGTGGCCGCAGGCTCTCGCAGTAGTGGCGCCCACACCAGACCGCTCCGTTTTTCCAGAAGTAGATGAGGTCGACGAGCGGCTCGGAGCACTTGCAGCACACGAAGCAGGCCGGGTGCCACTGCCGGGAGTAGCCGGCTCTGTCCACGTAGACGACGGGGTAATCCGCCGGCACCGCCTGCTTGCAGATCTCGCAGCACTGCGAGGGAGAACGCTTCGTTAGCGCCTAGGTCGCTCTAGGAGGTGAGCACGGGGCTAGCCGCGCACACCGCGTAAGCAAAAGCGGCGATGCTCCATGCATGTGCCAGGTTTTTACTTTTTATACATTTGAATTCATAGCATCTTTTCAATGCGTCATTCTTAATTATGCAGTTGGTAAGAAGAACAGTTAGCAAAACACAACCGAGTAACACACTGAATACGCTGAAGGCACCTGCTGTGTTCCTGCTTGACGTCCCATAGCACCAAGGAGCAGAGGGGAAATAAAGTGTTTAATCCCAGGATTGTTAAACCATGTAGTACAGGCTGCTTTTATTTTAGCTCTTGTTCTGTGAAGATAACTAAGAATGCAAAAGGCAAATTTTACAGCTACACCAGCTTGAGAGGCAGAGCAAACAAAGAGCAGTCTGAAAGAGGGCTACTGAACGGAGCAGCAAGGTGGAAGGGCAATGTTTGCAGCTTGAAAAAAACGCTGGGAAAGGCACCTCCATCGTGCAGCAGAACTCAGGAAACAGGCAGCACCGCAGCGCTCACGGCTAACACAAGCAGTGGCCCCAGATGGATTGCCTACGTCCTGCACAAACATCTGCAGCAGCGCTAAGTATGGACAGAGCATCAGATTATAATTGAATTCAAAGTCACTGTAAGTAAATTTAAGTTTGTCAGCCCTCACTTGGAATACTGTTTCCTATCTTCCAGCCAGATCCTCAGCAAAGGGGAATGGCATTGCCCACCATGAGCTAAATATCTGGCCTTGGGGGGAAAAAAGGCCCTGAAAACTAAAGCCAACCTTCCATAAACTCCAAAGGTTCTCCGAGAAAGCTATAAGGCATTCTCTAGGGCAGAAAAATACAGCTTGTCAAAGAGGCGGATATTTTGGGTAGAGATTAGGAACTTGGTCTTTTCTCTTTACATACTTCTTATATTTAAGACAGATGTTGCCCTACAGATTTCAGCACGGTGCTCTCAATTTACAACATTGTAAAGAGGAGGAATTAGAGTTGGCTCATCTGAAGATTAATTAATGTCTATGCACATTACACATAAGACTAACTGGGTTTGTTCTTCATCTGTAACCCACAGTGTGATCCTGTGATTATTTAAAAGTAAGCTCTAAAGCTCTTCTCTAGAGCTGACGGACCGCTGGGGGTTGACTGGCTCACACATAAGTTCCCACTTCAGTCTGGATAGTCCAAGTCGGGCTAATAGCTGCTGAGTCTGCACTTTGTTGGTCTTTAAAAGAAGCGCCCGTAAGCAGCAGCTGGAGTTTCTTCCAGCAAAGCCTCTGGCTGCAAGGCTACGCTTCTACTCGCAATATTTGAAGCAACCTGGCTAAAGCTTTTATAAAAACAAGATGTAGTGCTTAAGCAACTTGTGTGTCACGTGTTACAGCTTAAGTTGCTCTGCCTGATCAGAGAATTTACAGAGCAACTTTCTCACCGTCCCTTCGAACAAGGCCTGTGCAGCGAGCGTCCGGGGCGATCCCAAGTCGGGAATTTACTGCCTCCCAACTCAATGATTTCACTTATAAACGCTTTGGATTTAAGCTGACAAGTTCCTAATAGGTGGGTAGGAGAGTGACACAAAAATAAGTTCCTCAGAAGAATGTAAAGAACAACAGCTTCTGAGCTGCAGGAGGATCTCACGCATGGAGAAGGGAGGCAGGCAGAGGAGGTAGACTAACTGCCCCATGCCGTCCTTGGAGTGTTTCTACTGAGACGAAGGGCGTAACCCACCCTACCAACAAATGCAGTATTATGAGTGAAGGCACAGAAGGACACAGAAAAGATTTCCTGGCTTAGTTTTCCACGTGAGTGTGAAAGGGGATATGTCTACTTATACCGTTCCTTCCATTTCGAAGGGTTTCAAAAGCATTTGTAAGGTACACCCAAGAATGACGCAGGCAAACAAAGAAACTTCTGGTTGTAGGATCCATGCTAGTTCTGTTCTTATATGAAAGAAAAAAAACGTGAAATTACACTGCTCAGTGTAGGACTGTTGGCAGAGCAATATTCACGACACAGTGGCCTCACTTTCTGCAGTGGTAGACCTGAGGTGATGAATTTCATACTTATCGTATGGGACCGAGGCCTTATTTCTCCCTATGTCACAGATACCTCCCTAAGGGTCTTGCACCAGATTTAAGAAGCAATTCAGCATACCGCGGAGAACCCTACCCAGGCTATCATAAACTAACCCGACGCTTCCACCCTTAGAGAAACCTCCAAGACACATCCATCCTTCTCCTATTTATCTTGCAAGATCTAACAGTTAGGACAGAACATAAACACCAGCAGGTTTCCAAGTCCAAGCTCAAATTTCCTGCCAACAAGAACAGCTAAAAAACAACTTATTTCTCTTTCTTTCTATGGCAGTCATTCACAGAGCTTTCACTAAGCATCAAAAGCATTCTATAATTTCTATTCCCCTGCCATTTACCACACCAAATAAGAAGCAGGTCTTCAAATTTAAGAGGGGATTACAGCTTGGTACTCATTTTACTCTCTCGCGTAGGGAGATGAGTGAGGACTTTATTAGCACTGCTACCAGCCAAGAGAGCATCCCTCCTCGTCTCCCAAGTAGGCTGTTTGTAACTTGCTCTCTCCCTTGGTGCTACTTTACAGCCTCGGCTTCCACAGTAGAAGCTCCTCGGACACAGCTTGGCTTCCACTCAGTAGTTATTAAATCACTGGCCTCAATCCTTTTGAGACAACAGCTAATTTTGATCAATTGCTTAACCATTTGATTTGATCCCAACCCGCAGGCCTCTAACACCAGACTTCACAGTTCTGAGAGGGTTAAAGACTATTTTTTGCTTGGTAGAAAACATCCAGCTAACAGGAGGACAGACCTATCACAGTTCTGGGCTCCCCCCCCCGCAGCAGAAAGGAGTTCAAAAGGTTGAAGCTCAGATGCCTTTTTCATGGTGATTTACATTGGCCCAGTATGTTTTGCTTTACACACCAATTTCAACACAGCTGGCCTGAGTGTGCAATGAGAGCTGTAACCACCATAGCCCAGGGACCACACAAACGCCTGAGAAAATTGTTCCACCTTGTTTCCTGATGTAGCACCTGGTGCTGTCTTGATTATGCTCTTCTAAAGCAAGGGTAGTTTTACACCTGATCTTGGTGAACTTGACTGATATCCTGATCTGAAACAGCGTGAAATCAAGCCACTGGAGTTCATTTAAAAGCTTGGTATTAAATAGATTCAAATCCGCATCCTACTTTTAATGGACTCAACCAAGAAATGTCAAACTGCTTCAGAATCAGGATCTCTGAAAGACGCCATTCAAGCACCACGTTAAGACCCCTTCACCAAAGGCGCTTGTATCTTCAAGAAGTCTTGGGGTTCAGAGGCGAACACGTCTGCAGTGGAAGACGCCACGCACCAAAGACTGCTCCAGGCGGCACGACAGTTTGAACCCACGCAGCCTCGACCACGGCCTGCTGGAGAGCAGGCAGGAAGGGGAGTCCAAGGGAGATTCCCCAGACTTGGCTATGGGACTTATGTTTAATATCCCTGTATTAGGAGATGCATAGAAGATGGTCAATCTAGTATAGAGGCACCCAGATTTCTACTGACCTACATTTCTACCCTGGACACCTTTACAACATTAAAACTTCCAGTATCTTTGTTTTTTTGTACTTCATTTCTCAGTCCCCTTTACATTCGTTCTGTGTCTTTCCCTAGATAATTTTTTTATTTTTTTCACATCTCTACTTTACTCTGCAGCGTGTGTGAGGCCAAAAGTGCTATATCATAATACCATTCGCAGCTCTCTTGGACTATCTCCTCAAGGACTAAAATATCTGCATGCTGTCCTGTTTGTCCCATTAAGAGATGCATTTGAATTGACACTCTAATACAAAACCCTCATCTTTAAGAATTTAAGACCAGTCACAGAATTGGGTATGACTTGATGGGACTGAAGAGCCTGGTGTCAGGACAAAAGACCTGCCCTCGACTGATCCAGGCAAGCTTCAGAACATCTGCAACGCCAAAGGCTTTTCTTGCATATTTATTTCATGTTTCAAGGACCGATTCGCCGCTCTGAAGAATATTTGTTTAATTTTGGCCACCTAGAGTGCTCTGGACACCTCCATCCTTCCATTAGCAAGGCAGAGAAGTTTGGCTCCTAACTTTGCTGCCTCAGTCACAACCAAGGTAAATGCCTAAATGAGATTGCTTGCATCTCTTATTACATTGGTGCAAAGAAATAATGTAGTCTGCATTAAAAAAACCTGTTTTTTTTGGAGAGACATTAGGAATAGAAAACATCAAGTACTGAATGAGGAAAACACGCATGGATATGATAACATGGAAGAAAGGGAATTTATGTTTTAGCAAAGACAGCAAGGACCCAAAAGTCAGCCTCACTACACAGCTAGGAAACAACCTGTTTCACACATGGCATGGTGTTGCCCCATGCAGAGCAACAGCCTCACAGAAGCAAGGTTTGGGACTCGCAAAGAGACGGGGGACATAACATCAGCCAGGCCAGCCCAGTGCACACCCAGCCTAGGCAGGGGCCTTCCCTCGCCCTGCAGGGAGATAGCTATCTACCGCTCCAGCTCAGTAATATTTAACAGTCATAAGCAACTATGGAAAGACAGAGGGAGCTTCTTCCATTTCTCTTCCAGTGCAGTTGTATGAAAACTAATATGCCTTCTGGAAGTTTAGCATGTTTCATTTCTTGGGTCGTAGCACACTCCTATCACTTCAACAGCATCTATTTCTGCATTAGAGATCATATTGCAGTTGGTTGGTCTTCTGTTAGAGTGGGAAGTAGGAGGTTTGCCTTTGGTATGGCAAGAAGCTGTAGCATTTTGCAGTTTGCCCAGAACTCAGCTGCATGGTGTGTTAGTCTAAGCGGAACTCCTGCAACTCCTCCCAGTTCTGAAGCAATTCCATTTTCAGCTAGTGCCTCCAGAAAAATAATACTTTAAACTCTATGGAGAATAACATCATAGTTATGCATTTATTTGGAAGGACAAACTCGTAGTCTAAATAAACTCTTATTGCTAAGATGACTTTTATTGAAGAGCTTAATGGAAACCTTCCTTTTTTGGTTGATATTTTTAGCTTACACTTTGCCCAATTCAATGTTTTGTTGCAATAGTGAAAAACTATTACTGTACCTCTGGGCTTTGAAAGTCAGATACATGTTAATAAAAGAGGACATAGTAGACGGGAGACATTACCCAATATGGAATGAAAATCAACTGCACTTCGCATGTTACAATCTCAGTGTAGTAATGACTAGAAAAATGTTGCTTAAAACACATTCACATACCTCCCCCCCAGCTTTAAATCCTCTGCTGCAAGATATTCTCACAAAAGCCAGTACGAAATACACTCACTCAACACATTTTATGATAAGCATCTGTTCAACGATCACAATTGCCACTCCAGACCCCTCTTGGACTGTGCTTGGAGAATACAAGTCTAAAAGGATGTTAGAGAATCTCATCATTGCCCTACAGAAATATTTTTTTATGTCCAGAGACAGGCACGGCCTAAGCTCTCCAGAGTTATTAAAGCCTTTGGAGCATTATCTCCACGTTCACAGCCCTGAGTTAAGCTGAGACACCACGCACTGTTACTTGTGTTTTTACCTTGAACTAGTCTAGAAGGCTTAGCTGAAAACACTCGCTAACTTGCGGTGAAATGCAGTCTCTCAACTTGAGCACCTTATTTTCTCACAATCACCCTAGGACGCATCAAGCCCAACTTTCCGAGTTGCCAAGAATCCAAAGTTGCTTGGAAATCAGTGGCTCTTACTGCTAACAGAAAAAGGGCATTTACTTATCTTGGTGATTCAGCACAGCTTTTGCTGCAGAGGGAGGAGGAGGGGGAGAGAAGGTAAACCCTCCTGGTGGCTATTGGATGGAGGCAGTAGAGATGGCAGGAGCACTCAAAGGACACCACCTCGGTCATCCACCAAAGGATGCCATGATGCAACTAAGCATTGCGGCACAGCTAGGCTAGCCTGGAAAAGCACTACAGCTTTTCAGAAAAGCACTACAGCCCGCGTGGCACTTACCCTCTGCCCTCCCGCAGGCGCGCTGTCGACGGCTCCGTTGGTGGACTCGGAGGGTTTGCTCGCAGCCAGGGTTTTGTCTTGCCGCTTCTCATCCTCCTTCACGCTGCCACCTTGCCCGGGGAGCGCGACCTCACCGACGCCCAGAGCATCAGCTTTGTATTTCTTCACAAAGTCTTCCATGACCTTCACCTCGCCCTCGGCGAGGCCGCGGCAGTGGGAAGGGTCCTGGTCGTAGATAGGGAGCTGCCTCATCAGCTGCCTCCGCCGATAGTATGCCCCCTCCGTGCCCGCCACCGGCTGCATCTCCTTGGGGATGAGCTCCATGTACTGAATGGCCTAGGACAGACAGGATCACAGCGTTACCCTCGCAGGCATCTTCCTGCAGGCAAACATGGCCTTTCTTCGCAGTGGGGCTTCTGCAAACAGCTGTGCTGCTCACAGTACGGACACACTGCCAGAAAACACGCGCCTTTCCCACCAAACTGCTCCATCTCACACTTCAGAAATAAACAGCTGAACCTTTTCAGTTGCAATTATCAGCCAGGCTGTCAATAATCACCTGCAGTTTTCATTACAGGGTGTTTTTACTGAGTGCCACCAGCACAGCTGCCCAGGAGAGCAGGGGAACGCCTCCCTCCACCTCTCGCACCTATAGGCCCCGGTTTCCCGCGGCCGGTGCCAGGAGCACCTGCCTCATCCCCACCGTGTCAGACGAGCCCTTGCATCTCTGTGCAGGAGCGAAGCAGAGGGAAGGAGGACCTCATCCGAGACACACGTCCCCATCAGGCTAGATAAACCTGGATTCCTGCATCCTGACACGTTTTCTGATTTGAACAGAAACCTCTTCCTAGCTTCAAGGGTTCTTGTCTGGATAAACAAGATACTCTAATTGAGGTCACTGGCTGCAGAGAGATCTCTTTCAAGCAGTAATTTCTTCATGCAGAAGTGCTCCTGCCAAGCACAATATTAGCATCATGGCTATTCAATACTCTATATGAATGCCGTGCCTTGATCTTTAGTTTTGGATGAGCAATCAGAGTGGAACACGTGCTCAGCTAAATTACATCTCAGCAGCCAGAAGGAAAGTGAGTGCTTGTTAGAGCTCTGCACCAAGCAGTGTTCGGTTTTTGTGACTAGGAATGGCTCAGGGCTCTCACTGTATGAGAAACAAGTGGCCTCACCTTTTGAATTCACACAGCTGCATGCAAGCGCAGACACACACATCCCCTCCCAGCTGTGCGAACTTAAATAATATAAGGCAGCTTTGATAGCTCCATCTGATTTCCACTCGCTTAACTAGTCTGCGTCCAAATCTCAACATACCCTCCCCTTGCTGACATCAGGAGGCCACCATTCCAGGTAATTAGAGAAGACAACGCTGAAAACCCACAAATATCAAAACAAATACATTGACAAACCCAAGAGCAGCCAGTTTCATATTCCCCTTGCGATAGGTGCCGGCGTACTTTGGGCAACAGATAAAAGGCTGTAACAGGAGCACCCGGCTCTCTTCCTAGGGCTGAGCAGCCGTGCACAGGGCTGCCAGCAGCCAGCTGGCCACCGGCCACCAGGACTGCGAGCCCGAGGGCACGGCTATTACAGGCCACGATGGAGAACGGCACTCCAAGGCTGGCATGCACAGCACTTGGGTGAGATGTTCATGAGCTGGGCAGGTTAAGAGAAAAGGCTCTAAACCAACTAGCAGTCAAACCTTAATTCTGGCTCTGCCTTTTACAGTTCACATAAAATCTCAATCCATGAAAAACCAGTAGTCAGATGACTGTCGAGTCTATATCTCTAAGACCAAGAGCCACCAATTTTACTGGACTACTGATTTTGCAATAAAGGGAAGGTATTTGGTTATAGATGCCTTATAAGGTGGGAAGCAAGTGTAAACAAACAGTCTGCAAAGTTAAGTCTCCAAGTGAGCTGGCCACTAGCCTCTACCTTAAAAGCATGGTAAACAGTCATCTTGCAACAGGTTTGTCCCAGGCTGGATTAACGTTTGCAGAAAGAGAGGGTCCATACAGTTAACTTTTTTCTGGCTTGGAGCTTAAAGGAAAGGGAGTTTCCCACTCAAGGCATTTTTCCTATTGTAGTGTGAAGAGCTAACGGGCAGCCAGTTGGCTGCTTGCCATAAAGTTTTAAAGACCAGCATCCAGCTGCATTAGATTTGTTTCTTACTTGGTCAGCATTTGCAAATTTAATGTTAATGGAATGGAGGAGTGATTAACTGTTTACTGTACATATCTAGTTTGACAGAGTCTTTTAAATCCAGGAAAGTTAACATGACATTCAGCACTGAACAACTCATCACACTTGCACGAAACTTCAAAGTCAGCTTCCATTTCAACTACTTTCAGCCAAAGAGCAGTATTTCAGGGCTCCTCCCTCTTTCAATTTTGCAACAGCCACAGATAAATGATTTAACAACCAGGGCCTCTTCCTTGTTTCAGGGAGCACATGTTAATGGTGCCAGTTATGACACTAGACATCAGAACTCAGTCTACCATGCCACCGTGCAAGCAGATGATTGGTGTCTGGAAGTTTACTGGGCTGCAGCCTCGGGCTGCTCAGCAGCAACCGCTTACAGAGCTGGAGGGTGCTGTAAAAGTGATCTGCTACAAAGATGGTTTTCACAGAAGTCCAAAGACCTAACAGGAACTACAGCAAAAAAAACCCCAAAACACTCATCCCAGGCCTCACACAGATATCGCCCTGCAAAACATACTGCCATCAACATTTGAGAGTTGGAAAAACAAGCGAAAGAGTCTAGATGCTGTATAGTCACGAACACTGCGACAGAGGAAACCACCGGGCCTGCTGACGGAGGTCTGCTGCAGAGAGCACACGCACAGGGAGAGTAAAATGGTACATCTTAATGGAAGAAATTCGTAACTCGGAACAAATGTGCCAAGGCTAATGGACACTTACACCAAGCTACAAGAACAGCAAAGTGCCAGCAGATGCATCTGAGACATCTTGTTCCACTCTGGGGCCAGGCCCTATGTTTTTAATACAAAATGAAATATAAAAGCAAAGTCAAGTCTTTTTCAGAGGAAGAATTATATTGGTCAGAAGCAAGATTGGCACAGATATTCAGTATGATTTCACTCCCTCATCAAGGGAAAGCTTGAAGTTATAATTGCGGATGTCAGAAGAAGTGTCTAGAGAATAGATCAGAAAAACAAAATTCAACCTGACATCAAAAACTGAAATGAAGGATAATAAAAAGTTGTTTCTTTTGCTGCTATAGTGTATTATTACTGTCAAATGCTTTATGATGTTGCCCTAGCTCAGCTAATTTTGAGGAAGAGCATTTTAAGTTTTCACCACTGTTAACTACTGAATTTCTCAGGTATTTTATGAACTGGTCTCTTCACTTTCCCCAGGGATGTTAGTATTCACTTCATAACTTATCCAGGCACAGCTTAATGAGCACAAGTTCTGAACTTCCTCCTATTATCGGACCATCCACTTCATGACAATAATATTAAAAAAAATCCCAAGTTTCCACTTCGCCTTCAGAAGGAAATTACTGGAGGTAAGTCAGTTGTGCACAACAAGCTTTTTGGCAAAAGTCCCTTTCGAACCATCACGAGAACTGTTGACATCCAGAATTTTTCCTGAAAGTTTGTCAAGCTCATCTGTCAGCTGAAAGTTATCAAGCATGTCTTCAAAGTTAGTGCGCATTTTTTATTTGAACTAAGATACCTTCCAGTCTTTTGAGAGACTATATCAATTTAGAGATAAAAACTTCAGAAGCTTCCACGAAACATATCCATTCTGAGCCTCCCAACCTGCCAACTCTGCAGGAATCCCATTGGAGTGCTCTTTAGGTAGCTGAATTTAAGGGGTATCGAGCTCGCCTGCACACCGGGAGACGCTCTGGGCGTCTGATGCTGCTGCTGGGAAACCCACTCTGCATTCACAAGCGCGTCCTTGCAAGAGGGTGCATGTCTCGGCTCAGGATCATCAACGAAGAAAGTAGCACAGAGGCAGCCGAGCTCGGGCTTCTATCGCTGAGTGTAAGAAAAGGGCCCTGTGCCCTGAAGGTGCCAGCTCTGTTTGGCAGCTGGCTTTCTCAGCAGTAAAAACTGAGTTTCTGATAAATCTGGAACTGGGCAGGATGCTTAATAGATCATGTTGGAAATCTGCCATTTCCCAAGTTGGATAATTGCCATTATTGTTCTCTCGATCCCTCAACAAGTTCCCCAATTCCCCCTGGGACCTGTGGAAGGCAAAACATTGGTTAAACAAAGATTCCAGCTGTTCAACCCAAAAAAAAAAAATAAGGGGGGGGGAAGCCAGGAAGCTACCAGTAGTAGCACTATGATTAAGTGGCAGTCCTGGTCCCTCGTTAAAGCACAGTGGTCTGTTCTAATTAGCACCACGAGCTGATTACATAGCTACACACCCATTCCGGTAGGATCTGCATGCCCCCTTCCATTCAGCCTGTCCAAGAGGCTGAAGACAACTGAGCTAAAGGATAAATCTCCAGTCTGTCACCCTGGTTTGTAGCTGCATGCAATTTCACATTTGTTTCTCAATTCTTCTTTAAAAAAATCTGGTTGCAATTTCAAACAGCTTTAAACTATTTCTTTTTAATTTGAAGACCAAAAGCTGTCCACTAATGACAGTGTAATATGTAATGTTTTTAGTACCACAGCAGAGTTTAAAAGCAGTTAAATACTTTCCCTGAAGAAGTCCTCTGCTGGCTAACTTATTTCCACATGCCTAAAAACACTTCCATTTGTTCCCTTAATTGCATTATATGCTCGCCAAGACCAAATACTAGGCGCAGGACATTTGTTTGCTTTCAAACCATCCTGATGGCGTGGAAATGTTGCTCTCTGCCCTTTCTAGCCTGAGCTCCTTCTTATTTGGTCAAGACTGTGTTTAGCTGTAAGAAAAAGAAATCCCATCTCCAGTGGTGAATTTGGGAGGGGTTGCTTTGCCAGCAACCTTATGCTGTGGAGATGGGCAGAACTAGTATCCAAAAGCTGGAAGCCGCATCCAAGATGCTTCTGGCTACAGACATCCGTCCAGTTCTCTCTCAGGTTAGTCTAGTTATGCTTTAGTGTATATTGTCCTAATGGGCTTTTACGTTCCTCTTCCCTGGGGAAGGAAGCTCCATAAACTCAACCCCAGGCCCAACAGCTCCAGCTACTAAAAATCCAGCAGAACACTAGAAAAACGGAATCACAGGAGGAGCTTGGAACAAGCAAGACTGTACCCTAACACACGCTCTGCCTACAGCGGGTTCTCTTTTAGGGCCCAAATATATTATTCTGCAAACTGTGCTAGGTTTAGATTTAGAGCCAACACTTGTTGATCTTGTGTTGGGGAAACTGAGTCAATTCCCTGCCCTTTACGTCCCCGTCTCAGCTGAGGTGACATGGAGAATCAGCATGAACGCCACGGGAGAGGGGACAGTGCCTCCCTCTGCTCCCAGCCGGAGGCCGCGGCTCTCGGCACAAGTCATTCCTGTAAGTCATTCCTTCTGTATCCCAAGGGGCAGTTGGCATACTGCAAACCCATGCTGTCCGTAACCCGGCTCTGGGCTGGCAGACCTTCTCGCAGAGACGACGAGGGGCTGCCAACATATTCCCGGGACAGGCAGTCAGAGAATCCCTCTCATTCCTCCGCTGTGATAATGAGCCCTTTAAACACGCCGTCTGAGGTCAGCCGCTCTGATCTGTAACGTCAGATGGCTGTGCTGAGCTACTGGGTGAGGATATTTTCCGTTGAAGTGATGCCTTTCCATGAAAAGAAAAAGAGCTTGATGGGGAAGAGACGTCAGTTAAGCTGTTTCAGCAGCTCCCAGAGCATCACTGTTTCTTAGGATTTACACCAAAGCCAGCCACACTTCCCAAACACCTAATACTGCAACGCTTCAGTCCAGCTGGAGAGCCTGGGGCTGGGAAAGAGCTGGTTTGCACACATCTGAGCTGTGAGGTGGGAAAAACGCAAAAGGAAGGGTAGGAGTAGAAGCCTCCTCTTGAGGAGGAGATCTCTACCTGCAGCTTGAGCCTTCGGGGATGACGGCCGCCTTCAGAGCGCAGGAAGAGCCCTGGGACAGACGCATGCCATCACTTGCTTACGTGGGTTTTGCAAGCCTCGGTGAGGCAAACACTGCCTGTAGGCCGGCTGTTAAGTCTTGGCCCCATTTAGATATTTCTACGGAAAGTTAACCCAAAGACCTAGGTGATACCGTATTAAATAGGAAATAATTCTGCATTCTGGGGAGGTTTAGGGCCATTCAGTGATTTGCAGAGGTACAACTGAGCACTGGTTACACTCCTGGTTAATGAAAACAGGCATGGCATCTCAAGTTAAGTCTAGCGTTATTGATGTTAGCAAGCAAAGAAAATGACTATAAAGATAATTACTTCTCCCTTATCATTAAAGCCCATTTTCATAGCATTCAAACAGAATAATTTGCAAATGCTAAATCTAGCACTTTGTGTACAATCTATATGCTGCATTACTACTCTCTGCATTGATTTAATTTCGCTACTTTCAAGACATGGACTCAAGTATAATTTACTGAAGCATTAGCTGAAAAAACCCAGATTACTAAGTGTCACAGTTAACTGCTTCCACCTACGCTGGCCAGCATTGCAAGACAGTCCCACACCCCAGATTTGCTGGAGACCGGCCCTTCAACAGGTAACTCGGGGCTTCCGTCACTTGGCGGGATGTCAAAGCCACAGAGGACTCCTCCTCCCCATTTTTTCCCCAGTTACAATACAATCCTGAAGATAAACATAAAGAGTTAAGACTTTGCTAAACCACCCAAAAAGCTTCTTGTTTCCACCGTTCCTCCTGGAAGCCTGTTCCACCCCCTCATTCCTTTAAGAGCACAGAAACAGATCTCTAAAGTGAATTCACAGGCAGTTTGGGCTCCATGGTCCCTGTGCCTTGGCCTCTAGTTACACAGCTTCTCTCCCTCTTCGGTGACCTCCTCTGGGTGTATTTAAGGCGAGTGATCATATCCCACCGCAGACTTTGTTATGCAAGGCTCAAACATCCTGCAAAGGCCTGCAGGAATCACTTCCACATATAGTTTGGGTTTTCTGAGCTTAAAAATGCTTGTGTGGGTTGCGCAGACATTATATAATTGGCAGGACAGCAGAGATAGGTTCTTTTCTCAGCAATGTTTTTTTTGGGCATGAACTACACTGATGTGGCGAACTTTCTAGTTGTAAAACACATTAAGACTTCTCCTGAAAGTGTAAGCAGACCTAGAAGAACCCAGCAGAGGCAACCAACTCCTCTCTGCTACCTACTTTGGTTATTTATGTGGTTTTCCCAAAATACTAAACATTATGTGCGTTTTTGCTCTGTGAGGCAAGCCATATGTTTTACTATTTTTCATGGTAACTTAATTCTAGAGCTGAGTTATGTTCTCCAGGAAGTGACATTACCAGCCAAACCCGTCGCAGGTCGCCTTACCAGCTTTTGGGTCAGTCCAGGCGGAGCCCATTCGTAGGTGATGGTGTCGAAGGTTGGGTCTTTGCGAGATACAATGGGATTGGTGATGATCATGCGGTTTCTTTTGTAAATGCGAACTCCGTCACCTCCTTTCACCCTGGCGGTGAGCGTAGCATACTTTGAATCTGATAGCAGGCGGCCAATTTTCCGATCATCTTCCACGTCAGAGCTCAGGCTGTGATCCTCCTGGCTGCATTTGCATGACTTGCATATTTTCCTGCGGGTGACAAGTGAGATCATCCTTTTGATATAAGCTGGACTGCAGGAGGCATGCGATCTTTTGAGGGCCCAGCCACCAAGCTTCAGTCATTTTAAAAGGTTAAATACAAAACAAGGTTGCGACACAAGACAAAAGGCTTTTGTGGCATGAACTGCATTTGGGAACCCAGCCTGACACGGCCCGGAGGGATTCGCAGCCGTGTGGAATACAGAGCTATAAAACCCTAAGCGCTATCCCAAGCAAACGACAGCAGCAACGCTGACAGACCGTTCCTACCAACCTGCTGCAGGGAGCCGTTAGCTCCCATCAACTTTGAAGGGAAGCTCAAAGGCATTTTTAATCTTCCAGCTTCACCACATAGCCTCCAGGTGTAAAGCGTTAGCCTTTGTCATTACTGCGCTTTGTACTGCATTAAAATGGTGACTTCCAGAAGTAGAATTGATATCTAAATGTCTGCTTTAATTGTAATGGCTATAAAATAGAAAGTAAGTCTATGAAGCCGTTGTCTGATGGTTAATATTTCTGTAAGATTTTAAAAGCAAAGGGGCAAACCAATTCTGATGCAACCCCCAACTATTTCAGCATGATTCTTGAATAAATCTGATTCAAACTAGCCTCTAATGGAATCAATTAAAAAAAAGAAAACAAACCCATAGCAACTGAACCAAATAAGCTTTTCAAAGTCTGCATTTCCATGCAGCTTAGGTGTTGAAATCAGGACCCCAAGGCTGCATAGCACAAAATTAAGTGCCCCCACCTAGAAGCCTGCTACGACATCCCAGCACGCAAGCAGCATACCTGCGCAGAGACCGTGCAGCACACCAGCGCACAGAGCTCGCGGCAGCAAGCGGCACAGCTCACAGCAAACGCATCCAGACATCTCAAAGAAACGAGTACAGTATTTTGCAAGACAATCTCAGAGGACATTAACTGTTGTTAAATTGATGACATCTGCACATAACCCTTCTACTTCAGAAGCCCCATTTGTTTTTATTTTTCCCTTCTCAGTTTGCCAACAAACAGGACAGGCCAGAGGTTTACTGCTGCATCTCAGAGAGGAACATGCAGCATTGGTTGGCTTCCATCAGCTACCGATATTAGTGGCTATTTGCCAAAATTCATGTTTTTAAGGGGAAAATGTGAAAATAAAATATCAAAGCATTTCCGGCACCATGCGCATTATTGCGGCCATCGCTGAGCTTGGCACAGCTAGTAGCAGCAGATGCTCTGCTGCTGCAGCGCCGAGCTCCTGAAACAAGGCCACTTTTTGCTCGACTTTTGCCAGCTATCCCAGGCACGCGCGCCGCCAGGGACGAGCGTGACGGCGAGGCCCGCTGCGCAGCACCCGCCACGGGCGCAGAATTATCCCTTCGGTTCGCGTTTCCCCCCTCAAAAGCGAGCAAGGACAGGTTTATGTCTCTAAGCAGTTTCCAAACGCTCTGGCAAGCTCGGGCGGCACAGGGTTTGTACTGCGGCGTAGGGCACGCGCTCCCCGCGGGGACCGCTCCTGCGCTGCGCCCCGTCTCCGGCGGGGACGGAGGGACGACACGTGCCGAAAGGCACTCGGAGGAGCACGTTACAGACCAAAATGCACTTCCGCACCTCAGCCGCGGCGCGTTTCACCGGGGAGCACCGGCAGAGACTGGCCTGCTCTGG